TATGACTCCCCCCTCCCATCTCCCGACAGGTCGACCTGCAGACCATGCTCCGTCGTGCAAAGTACGGCGATGACAACATGGATATGGACGAGCATTTGGCCGCAAACATCGCCAAGAAACGGAAGTGGGTTGAGCATGGAGTATGGAGTATGGAGCGGGGGTTGTTGTTTTAGGGTTGTTCTTTTCCTTCGGATAGATAGTTCAGCACGGAAAGAAACGGAGAGTTAACCTGAAACCCCGGCATGTGTGTGTGTGTGTGTGGGTGGGTGGGTGCACTGCGCCAGTGGTGCGCAAAAGGAGGTGCAGGGTAGGAGGACAAACAACGGCGGATTTGTGATCCGCGCAACCCTCTCTATCTCACCACATCACCCGCCGTGATCACTGTATCGTACACCGTACACTGCACCGTACCGTGTGGTGCCGTACGTATAACCCCCCCCACACACACACACACAAATGCAGGTTTCGGGGCACCGAGCTTGATGTGGACGCGGAGTACGATTATGACGGCGGTTTGGAGTTGTACGAGAGTCGTACCAAGCGCGGCAATACGGAAGCCCAGCGCAACCGCGAGCGCAGTCGTCAGGTGGCGGATCTTCGGCGGCAGGCGTCGGCGGAGGCGGGGTGTGCGTTGTGTCTGAACAGTGAGTTGTCACGGTTGTTAGTTGGCCCTTAGCGGTTGGGACGTGTATCGGTGTGTATAGGTGTGTGGGTGGCCCTCTGTCCCTGAGCACCTCGGCCGCTGTGGTGCGGGGCCCGCCCTCGAACCGGCCAACAGGGGATGGCGCCCCTGCCTCCCTCCCTGTGTATGTACGTTTGTACATATATATGTATGTTTGTGTGTATGTATGTGTGTCTATATTTGTGTGTATGTCGTTATAGGGTGGTTAAGCTTCACCAGCGGCCCCCTTTCCCGAGGCAGTTCCCTGCTCTCCCCTGCGAGAGGGGCACCCTAATCCGTGTGTATGTATGTGTGTATCTACGTTTGTGTGTATGTATGTTTCTTCGTTGTGGGTGTGGGTGTATGCGGGGCTCCACCCTAGCCGTACACCTCCACAACCCCCACCACCCCGTGGGTCAGTGACTTCATCGCTTTGGACTCACCCCCTTCACACCTTGATCATATGATTCCCACCCAACCCCTTTCCGCACTCCACTCCAACCCCCTCCAATGACCATTATAACCCCTCGGCTACCCACCCCCTTGCTACCCCCCCCGGCTCCCCCCCCCCCGGCTACCCCCCCCTCGCCCGGATGATGTCAGACCCCAACCGTGCCAAGCACCTGACCATCGCCCTGGGCACGTGTACCCACCTAAGCTTGCCGTACCGCGGTCGCCTGGTTCGGGGACACTGCGTCATTGCGCCCTCCGAGCACTGCCCCTCTGTACGGGGGCTGGATGAGGTGACGTGGACGGAGGTCAAGAACTTCATCAAGTGCCTCGTACGGATGTACGGCGCTCACGGCCAGTCGGTCATCTTCATGGAGACGTACATGATGACGCGAGGGCGAGGGCATCCACATGGCTTCCTCGATGTCGTACCGGTTTCGGAGCGGCAGCTGGAGAAAGCCAGGTAGGCTTGCGGGTTCGGGGGTAGGGGTGGAGGTTTGGGGGTGGGCCCCCGCGCTTGGTTGGAAAAGGCCAGTGCAGGGGCAAAGCAGTAAGCGGGGAAAAAATTGCTGGAGGAGGAGAGGGGGAGGTACGGAAAAAAGGAGGGGTAAAACCCACACAAGGCCCCCCTCGGGCTGCAAGGACGTGCGTGGTGAGGTCCGTCCGGCCCCTCGATTACTGCTCGAGGGCGAACCGTAGCCTTGTAGTGAACCAGGCTTTAAGACACTAAAGCCTGGTGGCTTGCGGGGTGGGGAAGGCCGACAGACACCCTGGCACACGGTCGGGGTTTGGGTTGGGACCTAGACAGAAGGTGTGAAGCGCCCCGCGGGGTTGTACGAGGGCTAGGAGTTTCCTAGCAGCCTTACCCTTTGAAGTCCCCCACAGTCCCTTCAGTCCACCCACACCCCCTATCGGTCCGCATTCGCCCCCTCCCGCCATCCCGCCCTCCTCCTTTCACCCCGTAACCCGGCTGGGGCTGGGAGGGCCCTGCGACACCTCCTTCCCCGCACACATTCGCCCCCTCCCCAATTACCTCCTCGTCTTAAGCTCGCTTAGGACTCGCTAGGGGCAGTTTCGCACTTTGGACGCGGGACCACGTTCATTTCTGAGTTTCTTGCATCCTGTGATTTCCCCCGCTCTCCCGAATGACAAAACAAACGAACGAAACGCCTCAACCGTAACCCTCCCCCTCCCCCCCCCTGTTTTGCCTTCACCCTGTTCTGCCGGCGTACACGCCGTCCAATGCGTCATCCCGTCCCATGCGTCATCCCGTCCAATGCGTCACTAGGTCATCTCGTACGACACCACCTGTGTCGTCCTACGCCGCCTTTGCAAATCTTTATTACTTCCTGACTTTTCTTCCATTTTCATATAGTTTCTTTAGGTTTTCTCATTCCAGCTTCCCCGGTCAGCAAGTTTTATACGCCTTTTCAGCAGCATCTGCATGAGTTTTTGTTTTTTTCGTTCGCTGCTCACGATTTTGCCACCTCTCTGCCTCGCATGTGCCTTTGCCCGCTGCTCCTGCTGCCTGGCCAGGTGAGTCCAATAAGGTGGTTCGAGCTTCTTTGGTATTTCGCGTTGGCGTCGGTAGGCTAGCCGGAATAGTTTAGTTTGGGTCGGTCGGGTCAGTCGCGCGTTCTAGTTTTTTTGGGGGGTTGGGAGGAACACTTGCATACCGGCAGCCCTTCAGTATCAGCAATGCAGCTTTCTCTCCTGGTCAGCAACTTTACACAACTTCTACGTAAAAAATGTTTTTCTCGCCGCCTTCACTACTTTTTCTACACCTACTAGTTTACGGTTTGGCTATATTATTTCTGGCGGCTTAGGTAGGTAGGACTTCCTACTTCTACGTCAAATCTTCATCCCGAGGTTACAGTCGTCATCCCGAGGTTACAGTCGTCACAGTCGCCACGGACGCCTTTCGGTCAGTTCTTTCGGTTGCTACTTTCTTACCCTGGCAGCAGCTTAAATCGCGTGTGGTTCGTCTTTCCCCTCCCCCCCCTCCCCTCCCCCCACCCCCTCATTCCCACAGAGGCTATTTCAAGAAGGCCATATTGGAGGCGGAGAGTGAGTGGAGCACCCACCACGCCAAGGCGTGTATAGAGACGACCGCACAAAAGGTGTGAAAGTGGGGAAGGGGGGGAGGGGAAGGGGGGAGTGGATGGGGCGTGGGGGAGTTTGTGGGGTGGGGGAGGGGTGGGGGGGTAACCACCCGAACCCCGTCTGGGAGAGGCAGGGGGAGGCTATGAGAGGGAAGCTGTACGTGTACGACGCAGACAACCCACCACATGGCGGCACGTCCTTAACCCCATGGACCGTGTCCTCTCTCCCTCACACGCACGCACCTATATACACACATTGGCATCTTCCCCCCCCCCCCACACATACAATTTTGGTGCAGGGCCTGCGGGAATCCATACCACCCAACTTTCCGTACTTCTACGTACAGTTTGGGTACGGCAGCGGGTACGTGCATGTTATTGACAACGAGGCCAAGTTCGACCCCAACTTTGGCCGACAGGTGGGCCCGGGGCGGTGTGTGTGGGAGGGGGGAGTGAAGCTGTTTGTGGGTGGTAGGGGCCACGTTTTGACCCGGACCATAACCCCACCACGCTCCCCTGCCGAATATACGAACACACATACACACACACAAGTCCTTCCACCCGTATTTCTCCTCCCTCCGCTCCTTACTTGGGCTTGCCCTACCTCCCCTCCCATCCCTCTTTCCTCATCTCCCCCCAGGTCCTGATCGGGCTGCTGGACCTGCCCCCGGAAATGGCCTTCCAGCGCCAGAAGCCCGAGAGCCTGGCCACTCAGCAGCAGTGGGTGCGCGAGTTCGAATCCCAGTGGGACCCATTCGACTGGACCAGGCAACTGCACCAGGCGGCATGACGTAGGCAGCACAGCGCGCCATGATGCACACCTAGGCATCACCTAGACTTCACTCACGCCTGAGGTCGTACAAGACCAAGCACTCGAGTTTCTCCTGCCGCAACCGCTGTACGATTACATGTATACGCCGTGCATGTGCATATGTACCATTTTGTATATACGGATGAGGGGAAGGCCTTCCAGGCGGGGATGAAGGCGGCGGTCCTGTTTAGGCAACCGCAGTCGAGGGACCTTGCAAGTTGGGGGTGGTGAGGTCACCTCACTGAGGTGGCGGTGGTTGGTTGTAGGAGTGGTTGCCGTTATTATTTCCGTTGTAATGCGGCGGTATGTCAGTCCATGTGGCGACACCGGCCTTCGAGCCAGAACAGGAAACTAGACGGGACGTAGACCTGACCTGACCTGACCTGACCTTGGCTGTGTGGGTTGGAGCGTGGAAATGAGGGGGGAAATTACTGGTTGGTTGGTTGGTTGGTTGGTTGGTTGGCTCCCATCCCCACGAAGGGGAATCTCCGGAGCCTGCGGCCCTGCTTGCCGAGGAGCTGTGTGTGACCACCCTGTGTGGGATTACGAAGCAGGTGATGTGAACCTGCTGACGGGGCTGGAGCCGGGGGGGTCCCAATGCTTGCCGGAGTTGTTATTATGCCGGCTGGTGAGGTGGTGGTGTGCGGGGTGAGGTGGTGTGGTGGTGGGGGTCGGTGGTGTTTGCGGCTCGGCTGGGGCTTGTGGCAGATGTGGTGTGGTGGTGGGCGTGGTGGGGGGCCGGTGTCACCCTACTCTCTGTACGGAACGGAACTGTGCACTGTTACGTACCTGATAATAAATACACGGCATTATGACGACCATATATACGTACATACTTGAATACATACAGACGTACGGACATACCTGAAGTAAGATGCGAATGGGCGTCTGCATGTCAGTCTGCGTGTGCGTGTGTGTGTGTATGGGACCTCCTGCTGAAGTACCACTGAGGGGGAGGAGGAGGAGGGGCAGAGGGCTACGTGTGCTAGGGTAGTGGGGTGGCGGGGTGATGGGCGCCGTCAGGGGGGGTACGACCTGACCCCACCCACTGCCCGTACACGACACGACACGACACGACACGAGGGACCGGGAGGTGCACCCAGTGGCGGAGCATATGAGCTGTCTAGCGAGCGGCCGGGCGTGTAGCGGTCCGCAGCCCCAGCGGCCATCAGCACCACCCTCAGGTGAACAAACTGCACACATCGACTCAGTATATCAGGACATTGGACGGACACAGCTTTCATTCACTTCACTCCGCCACAACACGATCAACTACCGGTTGTTTTATTAATTTGCTTCTTCCGCTCAGTCCATTCAGTCCTCTAATCACACGGGCTGGTGGAGGTGGGGTTAGGGGCCCCGGGCTGCTACCCACCCGGTCTGGCCGCCTGGGGAGGAGGGGGGTGCAAGGGGGGCATCCGCGGCCGTTAAGTTACAAGTGCCGCACGAGTGTTAGGGGGTCCGTAAAAGCCGGAAGGCCATGGACTATACATATTGAAAGGTTGATTCCACCGTACGACCGACGGCGGTTTGGGTCCTGCCAACTAGACCCCTCCTCCGTTTCTGGAACCGCCTTCAAAAGCAAGTGGGATCCATTGCTCATGCAGTTTTACGGCAGGAGGTAACCGATGCCCTGACCAACCCGGAATGGGAGGGTTGGGGAATCTCAATGTTACGACTGTTTTCCTTCTTGGAGTGCAACATTTGGAGCGGAATACCGCAAGAAGTCGTGGGGGTAAAGGAGCGTGTTGACTGGTTGTTGAGTAGATCTCTACCAGAAGGAGCGATAATAACGGCACTAAGAGAGCGTTTGATGAGCGGCTGGGACCATACGCGTCTGACTGTCTTGCCAGAGGAGTACCCATCAGATGGGAAGCAACCGGGAGCGCAAATGGCGAAGTATAAGCACTGGATGGGGCTGCCCTTTTCGGGAGCCGCAGCCGTCATGTGGCCAACACATGCTAAGGTTTTCATTCCTCGTTTAGCACATCGTAAGCTAATGCAGTTTCGTTTATGTTGCTGGGCTTTGGAGGCGAACAGAGCACGAAGGGGCAAGTACCATGTCCCCAGGGGGCAGCGGTTTTGCCACTGTTGTGGTCCTAATAGCCGAATTGAGGATGAAAAACACGTGTTATTGGAATGCCCAGCCTATAATGATATTTGTGCTGAAGAGGGATTCGATCATCAACAGAGTATGTTGGAGGCCATGCAATGGGAACCCGCACGTCTGGCGAGGATGTTGGAACGTATGTGGGCTCACCGAAACTCAATTACCCCCTTTGGACGCTAGTCTGGGCTGATGTGCGGTGTTTTTCCTTTTCTCCGTGGCTTTTGGGCGTTGTAGTATTGCCCTTGGGCCTTCGGCTCGTATGGGTAGTCTTACAGGTATGGGGTCACGCACCCCCAACCATGTAACACACACACACACACACACACTGAAGACCCCTCCTCATCCAGTCACCCAACATCCGTAGAGACAGATCAGCCACCACCACCATCTCAGCATGCGAAACTTAGTCCATCAACTAGACCTCATCTCCACACCTCTGTAGCGTTCTGTGTTACTGTCTCTCTTAACTGGTTCTGGTGGCTGTGGATTGGCTGACCCGATGGTGCTGAACGGCGTGGTTTGGACAATTTTGGCGAGAATTGCACCTCTGCCATGGGCCTTACACAGCAGACCGAAGAGACATTTGCTCACTGGCGAGGCCCAGGCTGCGGGAGACGGAGAGTTTCGCCTCCCCGTCGCGCCGCGTGTAGTGCTGCACCATGGCGTCGCTGCGCCACCGGCCGTGCGCCTTGTGCAGGTCCGCAGGCACACCGCGATCGGCGGCAGTGCTATTTCCTCCTATGCGCATGGAATGCGCAGTGATGCGGCGGGTGATCCCCGCCGCCTGCAGGGTCTTGTTGAGCCGGTGGCAGAAGGCAGGGTACGACAGGGAGTGGATCGGCTGGGCCACCGTGCCTGTCAGAGGGCCCGACAGGTATCCCCCGGCCCTGTTCCACTGGACCGGCCGCAGAAGGGGCCCGACGTCCTCGTCTGGCGTGTCTGGGCGGCGTTTGTACCGTCCTAGGGTGAGGAGGCGCTCTGTCAGGCCTACGGGGCAGGCGGCACCGCCGACACGGGCGATGGGAACCCAGTGACCTTGTCTCTGCTGATCAGTCTTGGACCGAGGGATGAAAACATCCATCCCAGTTGCCGTGATAACCAGAAGGTCCTCGTGAACGCTTATCTCCGCAGCGTCATCAAACCGAAAGAACCCTGCGAACATGACTGCGACGGCCGTAACGGTCATCAGCTGGTCGAGGGGCGGTTCCGGCCCACCAATCAGCCAGGCCAGCACCGTGACGTCTGCCGGCTCCAGGGCGTCGTGTTCCAGCTTGCGGCCTTAGAGTTGCTTTTCGGCGAGGTCACGGACGATGCCGCATGCAGGGTGCTCTGTAGGGGACACTCTGCCGGCCAGGCGGAAGTAGGAGCTGATTGCTGCACTCGCTGTGCGGACCCGTCCAGGCCCCACCTTGTCTTCCTTGGACGAGTTCAGCAGGGAGAGCAGGTAAAGCGCCACCACCTCGCCCGAGGTGTCATAGATGCTTCCGGGCAGTTGCCTGGCCGCCCACCACTCGCGGAAAGGTTCCCAAGACCGCGAGTATTCGTTGGATGTCCGCGGGTCGAGTGTCTGACCGGCCACTTGGGCAAACTGAGTCGCCAAAGTGGAGAGCTCCGCGTCCGCCTCCGCACCAAGAGCGACCAGGAGAGCTTCGGCCCGGGCGTCTAAATCTGTGCGTGGGTTGCGGTCGGATCGGTGGGGACACGGATGCGGTTGATGTTAGAGGCCGAGAAGTCGACCAGGAGGGCCAAGGTGGACCAGCGTGATGCGCCTTTGGGCAGGGGGACCCCTGAGGTGCGGGCCAGGAAAACATCTGAGGCCCGGCCGAGCACGCGGGCTCCGCTCATGAAGGGTTTGAACCAGACCCCGTCGGCCGTGATGAAAGGCCACCAGTCGCGGGTAGGCCAGAAAGGTGCGACAAGGCAGAGCCGGGACTTGCAGGCCTCGGCGTGCTGCAACACCTTGAGGAGGAGGTGAAAGGGCGGGTTCGCCCAGCACCTGCGCCCCCATGAGAACCTGAACGTGTCGACTCCAGACGTCATTGGGGTAAAGTAGCGGGAGTAGTCCCCATACGCGGGCTGTGCCCGACGCCAACAGATCTGCGATGGCTTCGTCAACGAACGCGGCGTTGGCGGTTGCCGAAGCGTGATTGCGGCCTGAGTGCTGGGGGGGAGGGCTGGAGTCCCAACGGAGTGGGAAGCCCGACGTGATCCACGAGATGACCAGCACGTTCACAACCCAAGCCTTCCAAGCGCTCTTTTTGCCAGAGAGGCGTCCTCTCATCTGGGGCGGCGTGGAAGGCTGACCCGCTGCTGGTAACGACCGAACTCCCTACAAGGCGTTGTCGGAAGTAGGACTAGAAAAAACTCCCCTTTAACCTTCCGGAAGTCACCCGGGGCCTCAGCCTTCGCACCTTCTGGTGCCACCGCGGGACGGGCTGGTTGTTTCCGATGCGTGGCGGCCAGGCTTGCCGGGACTGATGCGGGGTCCAGACTTGCCGGGACTGATGCGGGGTCCAGACTTGGCGGGACTGATGCGGGGTCCAGGCTTGCCGGGACTGATGCGGGGTCCAGGTTTGGCCGACGGGCAGGGGCAGGGCCCGGTGCGGGCCGTTTGGGGGCTGGTGTGTCGTCGGGGGCTGCAGCAGGTGGGCCACGCGGCTGACCTAAAAGGCGCTGCCTTTTGAATTGGCTGGCGTTGCGACTGACGGACATCTGGGCGTCTTCCGCAAGGCCCGGACGCGAGAGGGCCTCTACCCCTAGCTCTGACAGGAAAGCGATAGCATCGTCATGGGAGAACGAATCCATGGTTCCTTAGACGGAATTCACTGGCGATGGTGAAGGCCTGCGAGCGTGCACCGGACGGACTGATGGAGACACGGGCGAGGCGAGGAAGTAGAACAACGCTTAAAGAAGTATGACAGGCAAAAAACGGGTCCCCCAGCCGGCCGGCTGCCAAGGCGACTTAATGGACCGCTTGACTTGACGCGAATTGTCCAAAGAGTACGGCAAACGCTGCCACAGAGTGAACCCGTACGACGGTCTGTTCACAAACTCAAGACAAGAAAAGGCGATAGAAGGAAAGCGGGAGAGGAAGACACCGCGAATAAAGAAGGCAATCGACGATGCTCACGTCTGCGCGCACGGGCGCCAACAACTGCGCACGCGGGCGCCTCAATTGCACTCGCGGGTGTCCAACTCGATGCTCGCTGGCAACTTCATCGCGACCAGAAAAGGTTACTCCTGCGCATGCTGCGCTGACCGGCGTTGGTCCTTAAAGAATTGAAACGGCGCGCGGGCCTGGAAGACTGAGCAGGGCCCGCGGGCCCGCTTTATGGCGCTAACACCAGAAATTCACTACTTGCCGCTGCGGCGGCCATTGCCATTGCGATCACTGCGATCATAGCGCTCTGCATCGAGACTTCCGCCGTAGTCATGACCTCCACGCTGGCCGCCACCCCTGTGGTTGCTGCCGCGCAATCCGCCACCGCTGACAGTTTCTAAAACCGCGGCGCCTGTTTTAGCAGCGCCGGCCGGCGGGGAGGACCCAGTGGCGCCTAAACCCCCACCATCCCCACCTGGAACAGTGGAGACGTTCTCAGTCGATGGCGCATTATCATTAATAGTTGACATTGGAAGAAATTGAAATCGGAAAACGTAAAAAACTTGAACAAATGTGGATCGGAATTGAATTGGTAAGGCTTCAAGTACAGCCTGTCACGCTGACTATTTGGACAAGGCTGTATGCTCTTCTGTGTGAAGGCAGAATAACTTCACCAGGAGAGCAGCAAGGTTTAAGTCGCCACTGCGACCCAGTTGTACGACAGTACCGCAGAACTAGCCTTAAAGGCTCCAGTCGCTTCGCTCCGTCGCATCTAAGCCAACAGTTAGTACCTAGACCTCCCGAACAATGTCGGGTGTCTAACCAAGAATCGAACTCGGAAGCTTCATAGACACAAAGGCGCCACCAGACCAGGGTTCGACACTGACCTTCCTGAAACTTGCGGGCTCACCCGTACCTCCCAAATTTTGGTTACGGAGGGGCCCCCGTACCAGGCTCCTGTACCGGCCGAAAACCTTACGGGGGCCCCCGTAACCCCCGCAAAACCTTTACGGGGGCACTGTCCTTGGCTGAAACGCTGTGGAAAGTGACGCTTTGCATTTTTTTGCCCTGTAAATCGTTTTTTTCCGTTATTTTCACCAGAGTCTGGTGACCAGACCAGACCAATAGCACGCATGGCGAAGGTAGGATGACATAATTTTAGAGAAATACAATTAGGTAATATCGTACGTGTGGGAAGCATCTTTATGCTGACATCCAGATTCGAACTGGAGTCCTCCCGCTTACTAAGCGGGTGCCCTATCAAACTGAGCTATGCCAGCGAGAGACCCTAAGAGCGTCCAACACAGGGTGTGCTCAAGGAGACACGTCCCCAGTCCATTGTGTGAAATCCGCCCCCGCCGCTTTGCAGTCCGCTTCCCCCCTGATTTCCTGCCCACTCGGCGGCGCAGGTTATAGCAGCGGCGGCGGTGGCGGGGACCCATCATGGGGTTATGAATAACCCCCAGAGGCCCCCTCCGGTGGACAGCTAGGGGAAATTCAACAGCAGCAGCAGCAGCAGCAGCAGCAGCAGCAGGGGTACGGGTATGCGGCACACGTAGGCACCACTCTTCCGGTCTGGTTTCACACACACACAAAAATATACGTCTACATAGTCTCGCTCTTCATATATGATGTGTGAAACAGGGGGGTGTATCTTCGCCCGTGGCAGCTACCCTGCGAAATCCTGCCTTCCCCGGTATTTCGGGGCACCCTCATCAAGTCACCCTAGTCAACTTCACAGTGGATCGCTCAGGTTCCGCACCCACCACCAGCATCCAACGGAATCTCCCGGACCGACAGCGGCCCATCTCCATTCCTGGTCGGCTCGCAAGTTAACTTTACACCAGGTCACCACCGTCCATCACCTAAGAAGGATTCTATACCCTAACGGGTATCGAGCCCGGGATCTTCCGGGGGCAATGGTCGCGCGTTACCAGTTGTGCCAAACCCTTATATATATGTATATTTACGATATACATGTATATATAATAATAGATTTTGTATAAACGAAGTGGCCAGTCGTGATAGCAGCCCTGTGCAGTCAAGTGCTGCCCTTCCTACAAGCTAGTGCTTGGCCGTGCCAGCTGCGCATCGCAAGCGACTCGAAAATGCTGCCGGTCGGTTATGAGGCGTCTGACATTTGCTTATTGCCATTGAAGGGAACGAATCCGTTCGTTTTGGAGGAAGATGAGTCTATCTAACCAACTCTGTTACCATCGTCGTACGATACCTAGATCGCCTGGATGGATTCTTATCCACAGCAGCACGGCACTATCGGTACCGTAGCTACCGTAGCAGGCAGATAAGGCAAGGGGAAACAGTTAAGTGCCAAAAACAAGAAGTGGAAAAACGATCCACATGAATATGATAATCACAGGCGTTCAGTTTTGGGGTCCTTTGGCGCCTTGCCGCAACTTCGGCACATTGGAATTCGACAGTTCTACAGGCGCGAGCGACGATCCAATCCTAACAAGCCAATGTCATGACCGAGGATAACTTTAGAGCTCAGACGCCGGGGGACGAACCATGTGAAACGAAAAAATCCTTAAGAATCAGTTATGCTGCAATCACGCCAATGCCTTGCATTGTTGTTGCTCGTCCCTGCAAAGGATCTCCAACAACGCTGGAGTTAAGATATATTCATGTTTATTTGGTCTAACTGGTTTTGACACTTAAGGAATACAATAACTCCAATTTTCCTTGTCCTTGAAGCGGTTACACACGTGGCCATCGCGGGTTGCGTTCGGCTTGCACCTTGACCATGCAGCCGTACACTCGGCGCGTTACAATTTCCCGTAACGCCGACACGCATGTCACATGTCAGAATCGCGCTTCTGTCTACCAAATGGTTCCGGTTACTCGGATAGGTATCATCTGTTCCTGCCTTTTTATGATTGTATCGTAGTAATAGCCGACAATACTCAGGTAAATAATTCTCCAGCCAAAGGGGCGCGGCCTAAGAAGCGGTCTGGCTCTGCTTGCGTAACTCCGGAAGAGAGAGAGCTCCTCGGAGACAAGCTTTTGACGACTTTGGAAATTCACGTATGTCTCGCGCCCAGCTCTCCGCTGCTAATCAGGCTGCTACTGCTGCGCGTTTCGCGACGACAGCTCAATAACTCTGCTTAAATAACACGGTTTCATATCTCAGCGCTAATAACCTCAGGCGTGGTAAAGATATATAGTCAAAGCTTTTGCCAACTTCCCGCGTTGAAAAAGTTTTGAACTCTAACCGACATAAAACAGTGACGACCTTTATAACAGAACAACAGAACAACAACGAAAGCGCATAACTTTGCAAAACAATAAAACTATCAGACCAAACAGCACCGGTAATACCGTTATTGCCTTTAGTTCCGTCTTCATCATCAGTCCGCGCGTCGGTCCGCTGGCAATTACGGAAGCATCAACAGCCACGCCGCCGCCGAGTGCCAACCAAATCCGCGTCATGCTCAGCAAGCATTGATGCAACCATCACACCGCGGGCGCGTGGTGGGATTGTTTCCTCCTGCGTACCCAGATAGCTAGCGACATGTTACTGAGGTAGCTCAGCAGCAGCGGTGTACTTCCCATCCGCACCGCCCACCCCCACAGCACAGGCCGTGCACTCATGTAAACCAGGCCGCGATCACTCGAGCTCGCAGGACTATGGAAAAGTACTTTTGCGTTCGTAACACGCATCATCGAGGTGTAACTACAATGCTCATGCAGTCTCATGCAGTTATCTATGCCCTCTGTGTTCCTTCTTCACTTCGTAAGGCGCTCTTCAAACCAGAAGGCGTGGGAAGTTCTTGCGACGTTGTTTGTCGCTGTCGGGTTACTGCGCTTACGGGGTCGTAAAGAACATTTCCTGCCTCTTTGGACATCGGCATAGACACCTTTCCAAACAGCTGTAGATTTTGGTCAGGTTGAGATCATTAATTCAGACCGCGAGATCTCATTCCGCTGTCGTTTAAGCAATCGCCAGCGTTGCCGACCGTTGCCTCGCGCGATAGTTTCGTGACCTTGGAAGATTCGCTCCAACGGTTTTATGCACTACTGCTGGAACATCAGGTAGATGTGCACGCAGGCGCACGTTGGGAGCTACTAGAAAAGCAAAAACGAATGATTTCATCGGAAGGATGTACGGTGCCTCTTTGTCTTCAGTATTGATGGTCGTGCAAAATGCCTCCTTCAGCCGGGTCGTGAAGCGGTAACCGTCAGGCACCTTCAGCCGACACGTGAGCCATATAAAAAGATGTAAAGGATGGTAAGTTTTTTCCATACATTTGATGAGAGCGGCTTAAGGTATGTCGCCTCATTAAATGTTTTGGTCCTCGGCGCCCCAGCACATGGAGCGACACAGGCGATGTCGGGGCCTGGCCCAAACAGGTCGCCTGATCTGCATCAGCACGGCGATCATTATGTAAGTGAAGTTATTTATCTGTCATTATTTATGATCACGTTGTCGCTCGCGTCCGCGAGGTGTTGACGGTGCCGGAATGTGAAACTGCAGGGCTTTCGCCCTAGCCTGCGTCTCTAGCCGTAATCCTCAGATATCAGCACATCGTAATATTCTTTACAATGAGCACTCAAGCCTGTCATTATTGGATTCTGGGCCTACCTTTTGCCTGCTCGTCTCCGTCAACGCGACGACTTGCGAGCGGCAAGCATTTCATCTTTCTGGTTTAGAGAGCATCTATATAAACATAAGTAAGCCCAATATGTGAATATATTGCTCCGTTAATGCTGAAGGCTTTTGTCGCGCTGTCGTCAAGCATCGACGTCCTGCACGAGCTAATACCACCTGCTCTCTTTCACACATGTCCTTTAGGAGTTTGTATACGGTAACGAAGCATATTATGAAGCATAACAAATCATATTTGATGCTCAAATATTGCAGGGCCAGAATGCTATGATTCCAGCATTGGGTTGGTGGCGACACTGCAGCAGCATGACTCGCCGGGTGGAAGCGTCACACCCCTGGAGTACGCGCTCGAGCTGCCTACCACCATTGCAACAGATAAATACAATAACAAAGATCTATCAGTACAGCTGCGCGCATCTGCCGGCTTCAGCTCATCCATCTTGGCTGAGCACGGGCGGGCCCGTCTTTGTGTGCGGCTGGGTGGCGATGGTGTCGCAACTGTTCCCAATCAGTGCGCTGTCGCATCCCACTGGTGTGCTCCATCCACCCAAATTGATGCCGCTCTTGCTGATGCTCATCCCTCGTCGCCACAACCCAGCTGCTGGGTGATGCTGCAAGATGCCGCGGGGGGTACCTGCATGCAACCAGCAATGGAGGTACTCGAGTCCGGGGTCCACGTTGCGGCCAAGCAATCTGCGGAGGCTCTGCGGACAGATGAGCCGCTATTGCATCACCAAGGATCCCAGGATACCGCTGCGGCGACCCGGCCCTGGCTGGGCGAACGAAGCCTCATGTCTGAAGATGCCGGTCCGCCGCCAAGTGACTCCGACCCGCAGTCGCACCCGTATGGTGAGGCTGATTCCTCACTTGGACAAACCCAAACCCCAGATATGCCCCAGCAGAATCTCCCTCCACCTCCACCTCCACCTTTCCCTCCCCCTCCCCCTCCCCCGCCCCCTCCGCCTCCACCTCCACCTTCCTCCCCACAGCCCCCCGACTCAGCGACCGTCCCGACATCACCCAATGAGTCCTGCAGGCTCTGCATCAAGATTGAGGTTGTGCCGCCCGCAGTTGAAATGGTGGGATTCCAGCTGAAACTGGATGAGGAGCGATGCGCGCAGGCGGCATCCAACATCGCGACAGCAATGGGCAACATAAAGGGCATCGGGCTCCGGAACTACAACAGCACCGATGTCCTTAAAAAGCCATTCAAGCTGAAGGCGTGTGATCCTGGCGATACGGCTGCTACAGGCGCCCGCATGCATCCCTACATGACTGTGTGCGGTGCATACTTCCGGCGACCACACGTCATCGAAGCTGTTTCAAAGCGACTGGCAAACGGACTACTCCAGCGCTTCGTTGACGAATTGCTGCCTGAGTGGTGCCCGCCGCGATCTGCGGCCCCGTACAACTTCACCGCTTCCGTTGTTGCGCCGCGGCAGGAAGAGCGGTCATGCTTCTACAGCTTCCAGCGCCGGAGCTCTTGCATCTCCCGCAGTCCCCAAGCCCCTAAGCAACCCCTTATTTGGCGCCCGCGTCAGCCACCTAACCGTCCACCGCGACCCCCGAGCCCAGAGCCAGACTTCTTTTACCAGCCGCCGCCGCCGCCCTCGCCGCCACCTTCACCCCCCGGTCCGCCGCCATCACCGCGACCCCCTGCTCCACGACCTCCCTCTCCTCCGCCTCCGCCACCACCACCCAGGCCGCCGCCTCCATGGCCGTACCCGCCACCGCCGTATGTCGACCTTGTCTGCATCCGTCTGGCATATGACGGCCTTAAACTCCTCAACGAGAGTACCACATGCGGCGGGGAGTCTGGAGCCTGCCTGTGGAACCTTATGTACACCGTTTTTAACCACGGCATTTACGCGCTCAATACAAGAGGGATCGCACACACTTGGACAAACCGCTACTGTGGGGACAATGATATTGTCCTTTGCAGTCCCATCTTCGTCAACGACACAAGTCGTGCGCTAGACGCACTCAGCCTCGCCCTGCCGAAGATTTTTGACGACATCTTCCCCCCGGGACGCAGGTTCAGCTGCTTTGAGCCCGGCAGCAACCCGAATGCGGATGCGACGCAATGGCGGTTGCTGCTCGGGGTGGGACCCTTCCCAGGTTACCCGGGAAGCAGTGTCAGGCTTCAAGTGGACTGCAAGGCAACGTTACTCGCTGTGCCCCCGCCAAACCCACCCGCCCCTTCACCTCCCCCCAGTCCACCCCCGCCCCCCTTCAATCTGCAGTGCCTCAGGCCTGACAGTCCCACTATCCCTTTCAAAGTGACCGGCGTACAGGTCTGTATGTGCATCTGTATGTGTATCTATGTTTCTGCCAGTTTGTACGTCTGTACGTCTGTCTGTACATCTGTGCGTCTGGGCATCTGTGTGTGTGTCTGCATATCGATTTCCAACGTAGCATGTTGATTGGCGCCAATTCCCCATAACGCTCTCTTGGATTGGTTGCATGATTGGATTGCCATCACTGCATCCCCAAAAACTGATACGTCGTTGATTCGTCAGCAGCTGGGCCTGCCGCCCTACATCCTACATCCAAATCATTCTACCTACCCTTCTTTTACCACTGCCACCACACCGTTCAGGTGGTGCAAGACCTGGCGTTGCCAAGGGGACTGCAGACACCGCCACCGGCATGCTTCTCCATCGATCTCAAACCACTCCCAACAGAGCCACTTCAGCCCCGGAACGATGTGAGTGCCTACGATCCCCATTACATGTACTCTGTGTGAGGGTGCGTGCGGGTGTGTGTGTCAGTCTGTCAGTCTGTCAGTCTGTCATTCTGTCATTCTGTCAGCCTGTCAGTATGTCGGTCTGTCAGCCTGTCAGTTTGTCAGCCTGTCAGTTTGTCAGCCTGTCAGTTTGTCAGTTTGTCAGTCTGTCGGTCTGCCGGTCTGTCAGTCTGTCAGTCTGTGAGTCTGTGAGTCTGTGAGTCTGTCAGTCTGTCAGTTTGTCAGTCTGTCAGTCTGTCAGTCTGTCAGTTTGTCAGTCTGTCAGTCTGTCAGTCTGTCAGTCTGTCAGTCTGTCAGTCTGTCAGTCTGTCAGTCTGTCAGTCTGTCAGTCTGTCAGTCTGTCAGTCTGTCAGTCTGTCAGTCTGTCAGTCTGTCAGTCTGTCAGTCTGTCAGTCTGTCAGTCTGTCAGTCTGTCAGTCTGTCAGTCTGTCAGTCTGTCAGTCTGTCAGTCTGTCAGTCTGTCAGTCTGTCAGTCTGTCAGTCTGTCAGTCTGTCAGTCTGTCAGTCTGTCAGTCTGTCAGTCTGTCAGTCTGTCAGTCTGTCAGTCTGTCAGTCTGTCAGTCTGTCAGTCTGTCAGTCTGTCAGTCTGTCAGTCTGTCAGTCTGTCAGTCTGTCAGTCTGTCAGTCTCATCCACTTAGTGCCCAAACCCCAAGTCCCCGTCGCTCCACCCCCCTCCCTTCCTACCCCGCAAAACCCCCCAGCCCGCTCACCACCGCCTGATTCTTGAGTGATGGCCTCCCACTCAAACAGGACTGTTGATTGCCGCGTAATGCTCTACATATTGGTCCACTCTTCACTATTCACACATCACCATCTATCCATCCCATCTACACGCCGTACACATCTCCACACGACACAAGCCGTATGCACATCTGCCCCTCCCCCTGTTCCCCGCGCGCAGGGCTGTTCGAATACCACACAGCTCCGGGGCCTTATCCTGATGGTGGACCCCTCCGTCAAGGCGAGAGACAGTATGTATATCATCTACCGGAGTGCATGGGTCGACCGACCGGCTGACAACTCCTACGATTCCCTGCTTTGGAATCAGCTGCCGTGGAATGTCAGCGCACCTGGGTACTTGTCTGTGCTTCAGGACACTCCGTCAGATTGGGGGGTGCGATTCATGAGGTCATGGGGAGGTGTACAACTGTGCCTGGGAGATTTCCCAGTCAGCCAACTCCGAGACTTGTGCATGGGCAATTCCTGCACAATGGCCTTATACTTCTCACCGACATGCTGCGTAGCTCAAAGGGTTCCAATCAACAATGTGTTGCCGCCGTCGCCGCCGTCGCCGCCATCGCCGCCGCCGGGTCCGCCGCCATCGCCGCCACCGCCATCGCCGCCATTGCAGCGGCCATCGCCGCCGCCGCCCGTGCGGTCCTCACCCTCGCCCTCGCCATTAGCACAGTCGATCCCTTCGCCGCTGCGTCCTTCGCCGCCGCCACCGCCGTCGCCGGCTCCTCCAAGGAATAGCCCACCGCCGCCACGGGCGCTTTTGCAGCGACTGCCGCCGCCACCGTCGCCACAGATGTCGCCACCCCCGCCTCCTCTGCCGCCGCCGCCACCACCTCCTCCGCCTCCACCGCCTCCACCACCACCGTCACCAGCTCCACCCGGGCTGCCGCCGCCGCCTCCTCCGCCGCTGTCGTCCCCTCCGCCACCGCCTCCACCACCGCCACCTCCTCCTCCACCTCCTCCACCACCGTCGCCAGCTCCGCCTCATCCGCCGCCACCTCCTTTGCCGCGGCCTCTACCACCACCGCCGTCCTCGCCACCGCCGTCACCGCCTCCGCCTCCGCCGCCACCACCATCGCC